GGTCTGGCAGTTTGTGGGGAAGGGGAAGAGTCAGCTCATGTGTATGGGTTTGCTTTTCGGGATTTTGAAAATGCTCTAAAGTTAGTTTGGGTGATAGTTACATAACTCTGTGAATGTACTAAAAACCATTCAATTGTATGCTTTAAAAGGGTTAATTTATGAGATATTAAATATATCTCAATGAACCTATTTTGAAACATATACAGAGAATGGTTTAATAATGATCCAATGCCCAGCTGCAACCATTATCAATTCGTGACCAAGTTTTTTCATCTATAACCTGATGCTGTCACCCTACTCCACTCTCACGTTGGCTTATTTTAAAAAACAAACCCCAGATATTACTTCTTCTTCAAATATTCAGTGTGTTTTCAGTAATACTCAGTAGCATCTTTCTAAAAGATAATTTTTAAAAAATACAGTACCATTATCACATCTAAAAACTTAATATCTTCATATAATCAAATATCCTGTGTTTCCATGTTGTCCCTCAATTGTCTCATAAATTTGATTTTTTTAGCAGCTTTTCAAATCTAGATCTGCTACATATTGCATTTCATTATCTCTTATGTTTCTATGTATCCATAAACCCTCCCCCTCTTTGTTTCTCTTGCAATTTATTTATTGAAGGATTGGGTTGTCGTGTAGAGTTTCCCACATTCTGGATTTTGCTGATTGCATTACTGTGATGTCATTTAACATGATCACTATTCGATAGTGATTCACTTTTAGATGCTTGCTGCCAAGTACACTATAAATGTGACCTCGTATTCATCAACATAGTTGCCACGCCTTAGTGCTTACCAGACACCAGATCCTTGTAGCATACTTGACACAAAATTATCCCATTTAACCTGTAAAACAACTCCATGTGGTATTATTACCCCCGTCTGGAGATATAGAAAATGAGGCTTAGAGAGGTTCAAAAAAAGTGGTCCCAGTCAACCCCTGAGGCAGTGAACATCTTGTCACAGCCAAGGTCTGTCTGATGTTACATCCCATACTTCTATCCATTACATGACAATATCCCCATCTTTTGCCTGTGGCTGTGGTTGTTTTTGTAAACTCTAAGAAGTAGTCCTTCAGTCCACCCAAAGAACTTACTTTTACATATCATCTGTAATACTTAGGATGCTTTCAGCTTCAAGCAACAGAAAACATCTCAAAGTGACGCAGCAATAAGGACATTTGTTATCTCATAGAACAAGAAATCCAGGGGCGCCTGTGTGGGTCAATGGGTTCAGCATCTGTCTTCAGCTCAGGTCTTGATCCCAGGGTCCTAGGATGGAGTCCCTGCTCAGCAGGAAGTCTGCTTCTCCCTCTTCCTCTGCCCCTCCCCCCTGCTTGTCTTTCTCTCCCTCTCTCAAAAACATAAAATATTTTTTAAAAAAAGAAAGGAAAAAAAAAAAAAGAAATCCAGAAGTGGGACAGCAGCAGGTCTGATTGATTTGGTGACTTAACAACAACATCACAGACCCAGGTTCATTCTATCTCTATACTCTGCCATCACTGATGTGTTGCCTCTGTCCTAAGGGTCAAGTTTCAGGTAACACAGCCAGAAGCAACAATACCCAGTAGAGATGGTGGCATGTTTCCTGTATGTCCCTGTTGTGTGTGTGTGGGTTTTTTTTTTAAGATTTTATTTATTTATTTGACAGAGAGAGATCACAAGTAAGCAGAGAGGCAGGCAGAGTGAGAGGGGGAAGCTGGCTCCCCGCTGAGCAGAGAGCCCAATTCGGGACTCGATCCCAGGACCCTGAGATCATGACCTGAGCCAAAGGCAGAGGCTTAACCCACTGAGCCACCCAGGCGCCCTGTATGTCTCTGTTAAGAGCAAGAAAAATCTTTCCCAGAAGGTTTTCAGCACACCTCTCCTCAGGTTTCAGTGACAAAACTGGGTCATATGCCCACCCCTAACCTCTCACTAGCCAGTCAAGAGGATCTTATTCCCCTTGCCCATGGTAGTTTAGGAGTGTACCTCTGAGATGGTAATAGGATCACCTTCCTTGGTGGGTCAACAACTATAAAGGCTTCTGCAAAGAAGAAGAGGGGTGAATGGATGTTGAGTGGGCAAGCAACAGTATTTGCTTCATGTTCCTAATGAGCTATGCTACAGTCCATTGTGAATAACACAAATACTTCATTATAAGTGCCACACAGAATTTTTTACTTTCTATCAAGTGACATTTACTTTTGAGCTATCAGCTTTCTTGCCTGCACAAAGACACTAGATAAAATTATATGTAAAGTCTCCTCCAGCTCCAGCTGTCTCAATTTTAAATTTTGGAAAAAGCAAGTTCAAAAATTAAACCTACAAGATATGGGAATGCCTGGGTGGCTCAGTGGGTTAAGCCACTGCCTTCGGCTCAGGTCATGATCAGCAGGGTCCTGGGATCAAGTCCCACATCAGGCTCCTTGCTTGGCAAGGAGCCTGCTTCTCTCTCTGCCTCTGCCTGCCACTCTGCCTGCTTGTGCTCTCTCTCTCTCTCTCTCTCTCTCTGATAAATAAATAAATAAATAAACCTACAAGATATGGTCCAGAAATGATGATGGGTTTCAGCTGCCAAGTCCTAGGCATGGCTGATGTCCTTCTAGCCCTTAAAAAGTTTATACATGGGTATTAGATTTAAAGAACTAAACAAACTGGTACTGATCATATCTTTCTATTAAAAATAGAAAGGTTAAGTGTTCTACCTTCCTGCCTCTTCTGTTAACATCTACTAGCTTCTAGCCCTCATGCTACAGAGTTTAATTAGAAGATCTTTTTCATAACTTACTTCCTTTCGCTTGGTGTCAGCATCCTCCCGGAGCTCATACAAGGCTCTGTGACTGTCAGAGCTCTTCCACCTTTGCTTTCACTGCCAACTATAACTTTAACTTAAGAAATCATTTCTATCCCTGCTACCTTTCACAGACTTCATCTGAAGTAATTCTCCATTCATTTCATCACACACAGGCATTTTCCTTGTGGAGAACCACAATAACACCAAAAAGAAAGATGGTACACCACTGAGTATTGTCGTTATATCAACCCTTTGCTACTCTTTCTTTCAATATGAATAAAATTGCTTTATTTGAGTTTATGCCTACCATCAGTTTTCTCTGGGAAAACTGCTGGCTTGATTTGTAAGTAGTTCCATTCTTATTTAACAGAGGCTATGATTTGTGATAAATGCACAACATGAAAAAGTCAAAGATATCATAGATCTCCCAGGACATTTGGAATAACAAATGATAGGAAAACCTGGAAGCGTGATTTAAGTGGGTTTGTTCATACCTCCATTTCATTTCATTATTTCCAGATCAGATGTGCCTTTCTGGTGAAGAGGCCCAGGGTACAATCCATTACCACCGTGGAAAGTGGGAAGCACCTCCTGTGTGCCATTGTTCATCCCACTAGTCCCAAGAGCTTTAGAGAATTAACTGTTTTCTGGGCAAGGCATGGCCCTGTTTGAAATGTACAAAGGAAAGAGTGTTGAGAGTGCCTCTTTGGGGAAGGCAGAGAATGTGCAGGGTGGAAGGAGAGGAGATCAGCTTAATAATCAACTAGATGACCTTGAGCAAGTCGTATCACCTCTCTGTACCTCTTAGAAATCTGGGGAAAAGCCTTACTCTGTATCTCACAGATTGTTGCCAAAATCAAGTGAGAACACGAATAGGAAAGTATTTTCACAAATGCAAAATTGTGTTATTATTTTTGAATATGGATTTTCCTCTGCATTTTTCTTTTTTCTTTTTTCTTTTTCTTTTTTTCTTTTGCCACATGATAACTGATGGGTCATGCCAGATTATGAAGCATTCACCCTTTGACTGTTTCAGGCACATTACACCAGCAATATTATATCCATCCCTTTGTTTATTTTCTTTCCATCACATCCCTAAGATGCAAATCTCACCATAAGGTGAACTACTGCATAGCAGCTACTTAACAAAAGTCAACATACTTAAACTGTCCAGATAAACGCTATATACAAGAGTTGTGCTAGAAGTATGCAAAAGGGGTTCAAAAAGGAGTGAGAGCACATCTAATTAGAGAAAGCTTCTGAAAGATAATCCCATCATGCCACGTATTTTAGGAATTTCGGCCTTAGTCCCGTGTAACCCCACCCCACTTTCATGCTTCAGAGACAAGAGCATATTTTCTCTATCTTCTTAGCTCCCAAGAACCCCGCAGACAGGACATTTCAGAACGTTCGGGGATGATGTGAACCGGCTAAACGCGAGGTGGGTTTTAACATTTATCTACCCAGCCCAATGAAGCTCACCTGTTTTTAACTTAGTATTATAGGTGGGTCTTTCCAGGCAAGACATGTGCCCGACAACACCCCTGTAACTCCCAAGGAAGAAACTTCATTGCGGATGTGTTAAGTGCCCAGCACAGCTGCTTTCATATATGCACCTAATATGGGGTTAGTCCTCAAAATGTATCTTGCGGCTTTAAGTCCACTTTACGGATGATGATGCCGACACTCGGCCTAGGCTGCGTTGTGCAGTCTAACATCTAGTAGAAGCCACTGCGTGTGCATGAGCTCTTCAACACCCTGACCCCCAAACTTTAAATCAGCCTCGCTCAACCCCACCTGCTTACCTCCCTCCCTGCAGGCACCTGCCCTAGCTGCTACTCCTTCCCGTGTCCCCGCCCCAGGCCCCACTAAAGCCGGTAAAAACTAGATCTTAAGGCTTGCGCGTAAAGATGTTCACTCACCCAACTGCTGCTCACAGGCTTGAAAAGCTTTTGCCACCCACCCTATCCGCAGCCCCGAGCTTCTCAAAAGAGCTAGCACAGCGTTTTCCCAAGGCTGAGGTCCTCGTCGCCTGCAGGGCGGTGACGGGGTCGGGAAGAGGATTCCGGGAAAGGACACCTGCAGGGGAGGTCCCCGTAGGGGGTCCCGCCTCCGCGCGGCCCGGGCGCGCCGCCGCGAACTACGCTTCCCAGGCTGCTCCGCTGCCGCCGCGCGCCCCGGCGCCGCGCCCGGCGGGGAGCCGCCTGTTGATCGCGCGCTTGCCCCGGCCACTGCGCCGCGGCTGCTCGGCCGTCCCCGCTACCTCGGGGCAGACGGACACACCGCCCGCACCGCCGGCTCCGGGATGGGCGCACGGACGGGTGAGCGCGCGGGGGTGCGGGGGCAGGCCCGGGCGGGGAACGGTGTGCATACCCCGGCCCGCGGCGCGGGGGTGGCCGCGCCCTCCCGGCGGGCTAGAGGATGCTCCGCGGCGTCCGCGCCTGACCCAGCAGGCGCCCGGAGCCGGGGCAGCCGACGGCCTCCCTCCGCGGCCGGGCGGCCTGTGCAGGGCGGCGCGAGCAGGAGGCGCCCCCGGGGATGTGGGTCCCACGCTCCGCACTGCGGCTCCGCAGCCTCGGCAGCCCGCCGGGCCGCTGCAGTGAGGGCGCGGTCTCCTGCCTTCCTCGCGCTGCGGGGCTGGGTTTTTCCACGCTGGGCTTTGTTCCCCGCTTTCCCCTCTCCTGTGACTGTTAGACAAGCTCCTGAAGCCAGGTGCCTCTCACCGCATCGTTGCAGCGGGCGACGGGGAAGGGTGCCTTCCGGCTGGCGTCTTACGACCCCTGGAGCTGTCAACCCGCATGGGCGTTTCAGCCTCTGGGAAAGCGGTATTCAGGGAGCGGCCTGATGCAGGTCATCGAGACCTTTATTTTTCCTGGTTAAAGTCATGGTAGCTTGTGCTCCCTGAGCCTTCCTAAATTGTCCCTGTTGATCCGCAAAAATGAAGATGGATTTTTAAAAAATAATATTAATAAAAAGTTCCTAATGGGAATTTTTACTTAAAGCCTTACAAGGTGGGAAGGTGATGCAGGCAAAATGCAAATTAGCGTTGAAGGAGGCCGCGAGTGCTATGGCATCATCTTGCCCATTAAACAGCCAAATCACAAGGCACTTGGGAAGGGAACAAAAAGAACATCAGAGGAGGTATTTTTCAAATCAGGTTCCTGTCCTATATCTACCATTAAGGAGCTGAGAGACTCTGGGCAAGCCCCTTGACCTGAGTCTCTCTATGCATGTAAAATGGGGCGTTTGGGCTGCATGATTTCTAAACCTCTGTTCTTCCAAGATTCTCATATCAGGGGACTGAAGAGATGAGGTTGCGTCTGTTCAACACCATTACAAAAAGCCTGATTGTGACAGAACGAGCGGCTTTACCCTAGTGAGGAGGAAAGATTTTTCAGGGCTCTGGCAATCTGATTAAAAAAAAAAAAAAAAAACTGATTTTCTCTATCTACTTTCTTCAGTCAACCTAATAAATATGTAGTATAGCCACTTTATTGTTCGCAGAGCTGTAAGTTGGTGGGCAACATGGTTTCTTTGTGTTTGTTTTTAATTTACTGAAGATGCAGTCATGAGGTGGGCGGGTTAATGGAGAAGCAAATGGCTCCCCCAGTCTGGGCTCAAGTGGTCAGATGTGGTCAGCAAAGACATGGGGGAAAGCCCCAGCAAGAAGTAACCAGAGAGCACATGCGCTGAGGAAAGAGAGGATGAGTACTGATGGGTCATTGTTTGAATAATACACAATGAAAGGAATACCAGAACCAGAAAACCAGTGCTAAGCAAACCCTAACATAACCAGTTCAGGCAAGGACTCATCCGTGGGTTCAAAATCTTTGAGTGAGAGGTTGTTGGAGAATAGGATTATCTCATCATGGATTACCTCTAGAAAATGTGTCCTTACAATGGAAAGATGAGGAGGTCATCACCTCAGCCTAGTGATCAAGCTTACCAGCACCTATTAAGAGTCTCCTGTTGGGATACAATAAGATCATGACTTCACCTATGCAGTGTTCCTGCCAAAAACACTGGAAAGTCAAATTTGGGAGGGTGGGGAGTTTTGTAGATTAAAATACTCAAGTGGAGTAACAACAATTTGAGATGCATAAACTTCGGATCCTAAATCAGAAAAAAAAAAATATATATATATATATACATATATATATATATCACACACACACACACACACACACATATATATATATATATATATAAAATCCTTTAGCAATATATATATTGCTATAAGATTATTTGGAGACAATTGGAAAATTTTAACAGGGACTACATATTATATAATATGATGGAATTACTTTTCATTTTCTGAGGCACAGTAGTGGTGCTGTGGTTATGTAGGACACTGTCCTCCTTCGTGTGAGGTGCAGGTATTAGAGGAAATGTGTCGTGATATGTGCAACTTTCTGCTAGTTCAGGGACAACTCTAAGTGTAGGGGAGCAAGCTCAGGAAATGTGGCAAAATGACAGTGAATTGAAGAGAATAGTACGCAGGTATTTGTTGTAATGTTCTTTTGTCTTTTCAGTAAGTGTGGACTTTTTAAATTAAAGTGGGAGAGAGTGGGGCACCTGGGTGACTTAGCGGTTGGAGCCTCTGCCTTTGGCTCGGGTATGATCTCAGGGTCCTGGGATAGAGCCTGGAGTCAGGCTCTCTGCTCAGCAGGGAGCCTGCTTCCCCCTCTCTCTCTGCCTGCCTCTCTACCTACTTGTGATCTATCTCTGCCTGTCAAATAAATAAATAAAATCTTTAAAAAAATAAAAATAAAATAAATAAAGTGGGCGGGAGCAATGAAATTAGAGAGTATATAAAGAGAAAGAATTGTAGAGAACTAGTTGGTTAGTGACACACAGCTGCAGTGAATCTGTGGCTTTGAGTTACCAGGATTTAAATCCTATTGGAGGTGTGAGGGGGCTTAGGGCAAATTCCCTTTCTTGGTTTGTTTTGGCTACTCTCAATCATTTATTCTTTTTTATTTCTTTATTTTTTAAGATTTTATTTATTTGACAGAGAGAGAACAGAAGCAGGGGGGAGCGGCAGGCACAGGGAGAGGGAGAAGCAGGCTCCCCACTGAGCAGGGATCCTGACATGGCGCTCAATTCCAGGACCTGGGGATCATGACCTGAGCCAAAGGCAGATGCTCAACCCACTGAACCACCCAGGCACCCCACAATCATTTATTCATAAGATACTGCATCCGCTGGGGCACCTGGCAGGCTCAGTAGATAGAACATGCATCTCTTGATCTCGGGGTTGTGAGTTCAAGACCCATATTTAGGTGTGGAGCCTACTTTAAACAAAAGAAGAAAGGAAGGGGAAAAAAAAAAAGAAAAAGATACTGCATCCCCTAACTCCAACCTCAAAACATTAATAATTCCCAAACCTTTGAAATGTTAACTCTACTCGAGAACCATCTTGAAAGCACTGTCCCTTTCCTCTCTACATTCAAGATTTATGTCCATCTAGAAGGAAGTTCCCAGTAGTGGTTCTTTTTATTTTGAGTTAGGGGAGTGTTAGGGGAAAGAACAGATCCAGACTTTTTTTTTTTTTTTAAAGATTTTTATTTATTTATTTGACAGAGAGAGATCACAAGTAGGCAGAGAGGCAGGCAGAGAGAGAGGAAGGGCGGGGGGAAGCAGGCTCCCTGCTGAGCAGAGAGCCCGATGCGGGACTCGATCCCAGGACCCTGAGATCATGACCTGAGCCGAAGGCAGCGGCTTAACCCACTGAGCCACCCAGGCGCCCCAGATCCAGACTTTTGACATAACAGAAGGTGTAGGGTTTCCTCTCATTCACATACACCCAAATGGTTTCTTATAGACTCTAAGTGGCTCGTAGAGGTTCATAGAAGGCATGTGCAGAAAAGACTTCCTGTTGCCAGGCCAGGAAAACAAAATCAACTCTTAAGATACAACACAGTTTTATACAGAGCCTTTTGCTGCAAAGAGACTTTTGCTATACCTGGAATATACATATTTCTGCTTTTACGTTTTGCCTCCTGTTTCAGCATCAATGCTACCCCCTCTCTTTAAGTATGTCACTAGGTTTCCCCTATTGACCTCTGGTTGGAGTGGTAATGAGAAGGTCAGTTCTAGGACTGTGGTATTGTAATAGGAACTCATGAAACAGGACACAAGGCCAGCTGTGCTAAGCCTGGAGATGAGTAAGGAGCAAATCTGAGGCACCAGCCCTACGAGGCCTCTCATCAGAGCAGTTGGAGGGGTCTAGAGTCTGGTAAGCTGGGCTGCTGTTCAGCCCATACATGCAGGGATAGCCATCCCTGTTGTTTAGAGATGACAACCATTCTGACTGGGCAGTGCCCATTCCATACCATTCACTAAGTCTTTTGCATATCATCTTGATAAGTAGTCATGAGTCAAGGTGCTGCGCGTAGTACCAGTATGGCACAGCAAAACATTGATCAAACCTGGCTGGAATACAGAGGCTAGAGTAAGAGACAAGGTAGGTGAGTCAAAGGCTACATAAGCCGGCAGGAGCCAGAGGGCACGGGAATCAAAAGACAGAAAGTAGGAACCCATAGTGCTGGTCCAGAAGTGAGAAGCCATCAACTTCCAAAGGCAGGGTGAACCAACAGATACAGATACCCACGTACAAGGCAAGGAGATGGAAGTCGGGAAATGGGAGCGCCTCAGAAAACAGAGAATAGGGCCAGACAAAGGGATCAAGCAGCAGCAGGAAGTAGCACCTGCCAAGAGAGTGAGAAACCAGGTAGCAGTCTGGGCAGAGTCTCAGTCTTCCATGCTGAGGAGCTTCTGCCCCCATCAGGAAGCTTCTTGGCTGCTTCCTGCCAAGGGGGGATCCTACCTCCTCCTTTGGTCAGCCTCTACATAGTGGCTTACTACACCTGGCAACTCTGACCCAGGGCTCTTAGAAGATGCTGCCTCTCTGTATTCAACAGATCCCAACAAGGATAACAGAGGGAACAGATACCCCAAATAAAAGACTATTCCCAGACCAAGGACAAAAGAGAAATGGCTTTGACTGAGGGTTTGTATGTGTGTTGCACTAGGCACGGTTTAATAAATAGGGCTGCTCATTTTGACTTTGGTTCCAAGTCTTTGTGTGTAGGCATTGCTCCTAGTGCACACATTATCACATTAAGCATCACCTCCACCTTCTGAGATGAATACTGGTCTTTAGCCTGTTTTACAGAGGAAGGAACAGAGGCTTGGAGAAGTTTCACTTGTACTCAGACCTGTACTGATCACACCCAGGGCTGGTTATCTCCAAGGCCCCTGCTTTAAGTCTTCTGAACCCGGAGGGGGTGGTTCACTGGTGGGCACATTGTTTTAAAAG